GCTGTTACTATAAGTACATAAACTGCATTGAGTTTTTCTACAATGGAGCAGTGTATATTTATAATGAAATAAATAGGAAGAATGTCCTTAATACTTTGGGACTAGTTTACCTGCTAGATTGCTTTACCCCATAGATGTACACTTTACCACTTCAAGCTGAAGAACTGGCAATATTTAAAGTGTCACATATAGTCATTCAGCACTTGTAAGAAATTTATCTTTAGGTATTGCAGCAACCAAACAATGAAACTCCCTATCTACTGACATCAGGCAGCCCCTTCCACTATTATTTTCCATGGTGGCTAAAAACATTTTTTATTTCGCAAACCTATTCAGACATGTAGAATCTATCAGGTATTTTAATCTGCCTTTAGTTTATGGTTCATTTAAAATATATTTAAAATATATTTAATACTTGAATACCTTCCCCTAGTGGTTGTCAGTAGTCCAGTGCCTTTGAAAACATTAGCCAGAGCACACGGGGTGACCTTTGTTTACAGCTGCATAATTTAAAGGACTAATGGCATACTTTTCTTTGTTTGTTTTAGAATAAACACTGAAAATTTGTGGACCTGTAGGCTACCAAATGGTGAGGCCAATTTGGATCTCCTTTGCCTACTAATCTGTTCATTCTTACACATCCTAAAAAGTGCATGGAACAATTTTCCACCTCTATGTTAGAGGTGGAATTATGACCTAGGCTATTGGCAGGAGAGAAAGAGAGAGAATATGTAAATAATTGATTTTTATTAAACATATCCCAAAGGTTATCTAATACTCGGAGATATAGATTAGGTCTCCTGTGTGTGTGAAGTGACTCTTGAAATAGCAGCACCAAACAACATAAAGCTGTTTCTCAGGCTGTACAGTTTCCCGTCTTATGTTTTTTGCGGGATAACATGGTGCAGGAAATTTTAGGTACAAGGATAGATGAGATAAGAAGGGCAAAGATGTAAGTGGTTAAGGTATGAATTGCCTCTTGAAAACTCATTCCTTTTAATGAAAGGATTCAGTATCATTGTTTCATTTGGCAATAATCTATATTAGTTTGCCATTTTCATAGGATTTCATTCTACCAATTAGCCTGAATAGTATTGATGCCTCCTGGATAACTGGCAGCTTGTGTGAGCCCTGTGGATAACCCTTCATTCAGGTGAATACATATATTATTGATGGATTTACCATATATTCTTATATCATCTTTTTACAATGTCTGTGTATCTGTCTATCTAATAAATCCTTAGAACTAAACAGATGTAGATATGTAGATTGGTAGATATAGGTGTCTGTGTTTCTATGTGTGTGTGCATGCATTAATATGTACACATTAATACAAAGAGTTACAGCAATATATATATATATATACACACACACACACACACACACACACACACATATACATACATACAGTGGTGCCTCGCAAGACGAAATTAATTCGTTCCGCGAGTTTTTTCATCTAGCGAATTTTTCGTCTTGTGAAGCACGGTGTCGGAAAAGTTTTGGAAAAGCTTCAAAAATCACCAAAAACCTCAAAAAAGGCTACCACACCTCGTTCTATGAGTTGCTCCTCGAAGTCAAGTCGCAACTGTATTAACGGTGTTAAGAAAAAGGAAACAAACTTGCAAAAAATGCAATACGTTTTCGTCTTGCGAAGCATGCCCATAGGGAAATTCGTCTTGCGAAGCAGCTCAAAAACCGCAAAACCCTTTCGTCTAGCGAGTTTTTCGTCTTGCGAGGCATTCGTCTTGCGGGGCACCACTGTGTGTGTGCGCATATATATATATATATATATATATATACACACACACACACACACACACACACACCGTATTTTTCGTCCTATAGGGCGTACTGGCCCATAGGACACACCTAGGTTTTTTTTTGGAGGGGGGAATAAATAAATAAAAATTATTTTCCCCTGACCCCAGCCCCCAGAACAGGCTGCCGCCCGCAAGCCTTGCGAGGCCGGCGGGACCTCCCGCCGGGTGAACAAGGCTTGCGGACATCTGCCCAAAGCATGGGGCGTGCTCCGCAGTGCTCCACAGTGCGCCCCGTGCTTTGGGCTGCAGGCTGCTGCCCCAAGCCTTGCGCGCCTGGCGGGACCTCCCGTCGGGCGCGCAAGGCTTGCGGACAACTGCCCGAAGCACGGGGCGTGCTCCACAGCACGCCCCGTGCTTCAGGCTGCAGGCTGCCACCCCAAGCCTTGCGGACATCTGCCTGAAGCACGGGCCGTGCTCCGCAGCGCGCCCCGTGCTTCAGGCAGCAGGCTGCCACCCCAAGCCTTGAGCGCCCGGTGGGACCTCCCGCTCTCATAGCTTGCGGGGCGGGGGGCGGGGGAAGCCCGAGCTTCCCCCGACCCCAGCCCCCAGAACAGGCTGTTGCCCGCAAGCATTGCGAGCCCAGCAGCAACTCCTGCCGTGCTCGCAAGGCTTGCGGACATCTGTGCGAAGCACGGGGCGCGCTCTGGAGGCTTGCGGATAGCTTCCTGAAGCCTGGAGAGCGAGAAGGGTCGGTGTGCACTGATGCCTCTCGCTCTCCAGGCTTCAGCGAAAGCCTGCATTCGCCCCATAGGACGCACACACATTTCCTCTTCATTTTTGGAGGGGGAAAAGTGCGTCCTATAGGGCGAAAAATACGGTATATATATTGGTATATTGGTATATATCAATATGATCAGATATTTGGAGCACCTTTTCTACACTGAAAAGATGGGTTTTGTTTTGCTGACAAATATAAAAGTGGGGAGATTGATAGAAATTAGAAAACTACAGGTTGCATCCTATGCTAGTCCTACTCAGAGTAGATTTATTGATGTACATGACTAACTTAGGTTAATCCATTTCAGTGACTCTGCTGCGTGCATAACTTACTTAGACACAACCTACAGATCAGTGTGGACAGAGTGGGTATGGATACATTTAACTTCCTGTAATACATAATTAACGTAGAGTAGTCACTGCCACTGAGTATGAATAGCGTTTATAGGATTGAATCATATATCAATTTCCCTGGATTTAAACCCCTTTGAATTCAATGACACTTATGAGCAAACTTGCATATAATTGTGTCGTTAGAACTATTTCCCTGAAATGATTATTACAACCTTCTTTAGCTCTTCATGATTCCCTCGGGGCATTTGGCTCACCATTGCTTCAGACAGAATATTGAGTGGAATAGATAATCTTTTAGTATGATCAAGGAATGCATAATTGCATTCTTACTTTGTAATCATAGAATGCTGCCTGGTAAGTTTTCTGGGGTAGCCAACAATTGGGGCTAATGGAAATTGTAGTTCCACAACCTCAGAAGGTATCCCTTATATTCAATGAAGAAGGAATAAAACAGGAAGAGTGCATAGCTCAGGGGTACAGTACTGTCTCTTCAGGCAGATGCCTATTATTTTTAATCCCTTTCCATTCTGGGAAGTTAAAATGATCAGGTAGCAGATGATAGGAGACATCTGAAGGCAGCCCTATTTCTAACCCAGAAATAGTGCTTCAGGTTAAGAACTTTGCTTCAGGATGAGAACAGAAATCGGGCTCCGGTGGCGCGGCAGCAGCAGGAGACCCCATTAGCTAAAGTGGTGCTTCAGGTTAAGAACAGTTTCAGGTTAAGTACCGACCTCCGGAACGAATTAAGTACTTAACATGAGGTACTACTGTATTTTTAATCTTTGTTGGAAGCCACCCAGAGTGGCTGGGGAAACCCAGCCAGATGGGCAGGGTATATTATTATTATTATTATTATTATTATTATTATTATTATTATTAATCGTCTTCATCTCTGCCTGAGGCTCTGGAAGCCATTACCAGTCATAATAGGCACTGTAGCTAATTCTGATATGTGCTCATGAATCCTCTTTTAAATAATCCCATTCTTTTTAAAGAAAGAAGACAACATCTGTGTAACTGTTTTCGTGTGGAAATATGTAGGTGAAAATAACATTTGTTGAATATATCGCTGAACAGATCTTTCTTTACTTGGGATGCAGCTTTCAAAAAATGCACAGGTCATTAATTCTTGGATGGGTAATTGCGTGTCGAGGTCCCCAGGGCCACCCCAATAACTCACACATCACACAGAATTTTTTGTTTAAGATTTTTGGCATAATTTTGGCCACAACTTTATAGAAATACAAATTTGTGAGTGGTTGCTTAGGCATTGGTTGCGACTATCTGCCCCCACCATGGGGGACAGACTGACATTCTGCACGATGCGAAAGTCAGAATAGGGGAATACAATGAGGAGCTCATTGCTATGGCCCGAGCCCCCTTGACAGAGTGGACAAGCAATAGTTAGCCCCCTATTCCTTTAACGGAATCCCTTGTAGCAGCAGCATTAGAGGGGCAGGCACAGCCAATCCATGCCCCTCAACCAACCAAACCATAAACCAATGCCTAACCGCAGTCTTACAAGTTGTGACGATTTGCTACGCAGTAAGCAAAAATCAAATGGCCCCAGCCAATCAGCCAGATGGACAAAATTCCTACCAGGCCCCTGACCCAAGAGCAGACGACCCCATGACAGGCATAGCAAGGTCAAAGTGAACAACCCTAATTCTATGGAGGGTGGGACGGGCAATCTGATGCACGGTTGAAAAGAGGAAGCCCTAGCCTCGTGCAAGGAGTTTTAGCATTTCTGGCTGTCAATCAACAAATAGCAACATTAACTTCTTCCCAACAACAAGGGAAGCCCCAATCACATCAGTGGCCAATGAACAATTAGCCCACCCCCAACTTTGGAGTGTCCTGGCGGCCCCCACCGCAACACGTGCTCTCCATGAAGGAGAACACGCTTTCGCACATGACATGGAAAAATATTTGAATAAACAGAGTAGACCCATTGCAATTAATGGTGTTAAGTTAGTCATATCCATACAGCCTGCCAAGACTGGGGAAATACCTGCACATGTACTCTTGCAGGAATTTGCCATGATCTAGAGTTGGCAATCATGTTCATCATGGATGCCCCTATGTTACATTAGTTTTTCCCATCAACTACATGAAGTATAAAGTGTAGATGGATGTACATTCCTCAACATTTAGGGATATAGATAGAGAAGTATGGAAGGATACATTTGGTTCTCCATCCCTGTTCATCACATTCATCACATTTCTGACATTCCTAATAACAAATGTAAATAAATGTTCTTAAATATAGCACATTAATCTTTCCCCTTTTTGTTCCCTTTTTGTTCCTTCTCCACAACTTTGCTAACCAGAGAGAATGTCGACATGGAATATTCTAACAGGAGTGTGGTAAAGGCGTTTGTCATCTTGGGGTTCTCAGCTTCTCCACAGCTTTCAATGCTGTTCTTCACCCTAGCCTTGGCCACCTATGTTCTCACTGTTACTGCCAACATCGTCATCATCTCAGTCATTAAGGCAAACCCCAAACTACAGCGAACCATGTACTACTTCCTAGGCAACTTCTCCTTCATGGAGATCTGGTATACCACCTCCACTGTGCCGAAGATGCTGGAAAGTTTCCTGGTTGGTGGGAGTACAATCACTGTGGCGGGTTGCATTGCCCAGCTCTATCTTTTCTTCGCCTTGGGCTCCACTGAATGCTTCCTCCTGGCTACTATGGCTTATGACCGCTACTTGGCCATCTGCCGTCCTCTTCATTATCCAGCTCTTATGACTCTGCAAGTAACTACATGGCAGGTGACAGCAGCCTGGGTGGGTGGATTTCTAGCTCCTTTGCTCCCCATTGTCCTCATCTCCCAGCTCTCATTCTGTGAGCCTAAGGAGATTCACCTTTTCTTTTGTGACGCTGGGCCCCTGTTGAGGCGCTCATGTGGCAATGCCTTTGTCAGCTCTACCCTAGTCACAGTTCTGGCCTCCTTTGTCATCCTCAGCACCTGCTTGCTCACCATGGTATCCTATACCTTTATAATCTCAACCATACTTAGGATCCCCTCAGCCAGTGGGAGACAAAAGGCCTTTTCCACCTGTGGTTCACACCTTACTGTGGTGGTGATTTACTATGCCACAGTTATCTTCATATATACAAGACCCATTTCCCCTTCTCCTTCTAAGCTAGACACAGTGGCATCAGTTTTTTATGCAGTAGTCACCCCACTGCTCAATCCAATGATTTATAGCTTAAGGAATAAGGAGGTAAAGGATGCTTTGAAGAAGTTGATGAGCAGGAACCGGGTCTTTGTTAAAAATATTGGAGCTATGATCATGGTTTGCTGGTAGAAAAGACAATATGTGGGCAAAATGCTCATTAGCTCTGATGTGCCAAACAGCAGTGGAGCAAGCTGATTGGGCGCCTGGGGTGGTGCACGTGCCCTGTGCCCAGGGCCAGGGCCAGCCATCCGTGGGGATGGGGTAAGCTGGGTCAGGATGCTCCATGGGGCCTCTGAGGAGTCTGCCTGCCTCCTCCCACTTAGCTGCCCTATAGCTGAGGGGGAGGCGGTTGGTGGACCATTTGGGGCAGCGCATTTGTCACCCCCCTCAGTGGTGATATCCGGGGCAAACCACCCCCTTCCTCCACCCCGGTGCCAATATCTCTCTTTCTCCTCCCTCCTTTATTCTCTTATTCTCCCTTATTCCCCCCTCCTTCCCTAAAAGGCTTAAAATCATTCCCTTGCTCCAACCACAGGAAGTGTAGTTTGGTGGTAACTACACCAAACTTTGCAGTTTGCAGTTGGATGAATCTGTCAAAATTTGGTTTCTCGCAATTTCTCCTTTTTACAGTCATAGTCCAATTCACCCAATTTCTGCCCCCATTTGTCTTTCATTTTTAAATTCTCATGAAAATTCTTACATTTTTTGCACACTTTTCTCTGCATATGCAAATTTTTGTACAAAGTTTTGCCTAGCTTTTTTGCAAGCAGTTTTCATTTCACAGAATGCAATTTTGTTTGCTATTTTCACTTCTGTACACTTCTTTTGCCTGCATTTTGTGAATTTTTGTACATGTTCTTAGCTGCATCACAAACTTTGTGAAGTGCAACTTTCAAAGAACATGTATTTCTTGGTTCATGTATTGATTTAGGAAGTGCAAATTTGGTAATGGAAATTAATTTTTCTCCCACATCAGCTCAGAAATCCCAGGATCCCTTATGGAAAGACTTGACAGAGTGATATAAACCCTATATATTATATATGCCTATAATGGAACTAAACCTTTCTTCATACACACCTTTTTTGATTGTCACCCATACAGTGGTACCTCAGGTTAAGTACTTAATTCGTTCCGGAGGTCTGTACTTAACCTGAAACTGTTCTTAACCTGAAGCACCACTTTAGCTAATGGGGTCTCCTGCTGCTGCCGCGCCGCCGGAGCACGATTTCTGTTCTCATCCTGAAGCAAAGTGCTTAACCTGAAGCACTATTTCTGGGTTAGCAGAGTCTGTAACCTGAAGCGTATGTAACCTGAAGCATATGTAATCCGAGGTACCAATGTATTTAAATATGTGCCTAATTGCTGTGTGTAATGCAATTTATTTTAATCATTAACATTTTTTGTGTGTAATAAGTAAAGTTCTTTGCTCTTATTTTAAAAGGAAGTATGTATTTATTATTTAAAGGTGTTACAATATCTTGGTGGAGTTTACTTTCCCCGCACTGTGTTAAATAAAGTTTTTACAAAGTGTTGGTTTTACAACAAATTTGAATCAAGAATAATTGTCTACTTCCTAGGATTTCTTGCAAGCTTAGAATGTTTTCAGCCCCAGGTTCATTGAACATTAGAGAAATTGATAGCTAGAGATACATGGGTCTTCTGAAAGACACTTACATAGGGTTACAGAGCATTCGAATCCTAATGCATTTATACAAAATCACATTGTTATACTTTCAGCACTTTGAGTTTTTAAGACTAACCACATAGCTCAATGATTTTATAGGATTCAAATATGAGCTGATGTCAATTTAAGTCCATTGTAAGTTGTCCAAATTTCTGAGACTTTTATCCTGTACCAGGATGCATTCTTCTTTGCAATCTAATTCCAGTTGAAAGCTGTTCTGAAGATAAGAACATAAGAGGAGCCGTGCTACATTAGAACAAAGGTCTATCTACTGGAGTATCTTGTTCCTACAGTAGTTGACCCATAGGAAACCTGCACAGTTGTTTGTTTGTTTTTAATGCTTGATATCCACTGTGTATAAACTATAATAACTAGTGGCAATTCAAAGGACTTTTTATCTATCTATTTAGCTACATAAAAATGGGTTCTATTTGCTGGGGATCATGAGCAAGAAGGTACTGCCACACTCATGCCATGGTGCTCTCCAGATGTTGTGGTCTGCAACTTTCCCCAAAACATTTGATGCAATGTGGTGCAAAAAAATGATATAACATTGGCTCTCCCTGCCATAGGCATTTGGTTAGCCACTGTGAGAACAGATGATTGGGCTTGATGACCTTTGGTCTGATCCCATTTGGCTGTTATATCCTTTAGAAAGTGTGTTAACATATAAGTGCCAATGTATTTTTAATTTTTACATAGCTCTGGATTAAAATTAATTTTCAAACATTCCATCCACATTCTGACAGAATCTGGATAAAAGTATTGTACAGAATGAGTTGGTTCAAGATTTAACCATGCTTAGAGCAGAAACATTGAAATCAATGTGACTTAGGTTGATGATAACTTATGTCATATTGATTTTAATACAACTATCGTATCAATTGATCTAGTATTCATGAAGTACATATTTGCCACAATTTGGAATTTAGATATGTGTGTTAATTAGGCATATATACAATGGTAATAAAAGTTACAACATATGGTTGAGCTTGAATGAATAATTTATACGAGGGATAGCCAGGTGGTGTCCTCCAAATATTGTTAGACTCCAAAGAACAATAGTCTTAGTTATTGTTAACGTAGCAGGGAAGATGTGAGTTGTAGTCTAGCAACATCTGGAAGAAATTGTGTTGCCTACTCTGGTTCAGAGAGACAAAATTCAAAGAAAATCAAATCCTATGATGTGTTTTCTTATTTCAATATCCATCACATTTTATTTCTCATTATTTATACAGTTAATTAAAAGAAGAACTTGTTTCTGTGTTTGTATTTTTACATATCTAGTCCTACTTAGATAATATGGTTTTCTAAGTTCTAAGGGACAACATGCATGTCTGGCCCAGTTTTCCCAAAGCCACCTTAACCTCCTTGTTCCTTAAACTGTATATGAGGGGATTGATCATTGGTGTAAGGATCGTGTAGAAAGTAGAGAGCACTTTGGTTAAGCCTCTCAGTTTGGGGTCATCTGGGAGGACATAAACAATCATTAAGGACCCGTAGAAAATGGTGACTACAATAAGATGAGAGGAGCAAGTAGAAAATGCCTTTTGCCTCCCAGATGTGGTGGAAATCCTCAAAATGGCTGAGATTATGCAAATGTAAGATGTTATGGTCAACATAAATAAAGGGAAAGTGAATAAGGAAGATAACATAAGGGCTATCGCCATAATTAATGAAGTGTCAGTACAGGCCAACTTACTGAGAGGTATAAAATCACAAAAGAAATGGTCAATTCCGTTGAAACCACAGTAAGTTAATTGTCTCATCCATATGACTACCACAGAGACAGAGAAACAACCACTTATCCAGGATGCTGCTGCTAAAGAGATACAGACCTTGCTGTTCATATGAAATGAGTATTGCAGTGGTTTGCAAATTGCTAAATACCGATCATATGACATCACAGATAAGAGACATGTCTCTGCAGTCACCAGAAAACCAAATAAATATAATTGTATAAAGCAGCCAGAAAAGGAAATGGTTCTATTCTCTGTTAGGAAACTGACTAGCATTCTGGGCAGAATAGTTGAGGTATAGAAAATCTCCAAACAGGATAAGTTCCCTAGGAAGAAATACATGGGCGTATGAAGCTGTCTATCATTCACAACTAACACAACAATGAGAAGGTTCCCCATTAAGGTTATAATGTAGATGCTCAGAAATATCAAGAAGAACAGAATCTGTAGTTCAGGATGATGTCCAAATCCCAGGAGGATGAATTCTGTGATGGCAGTTTGATTTATTGAGGTGGCTACCTAAGAGGAAAATAGCAATGGAAAGACCATCATGGCAGCTATGGTATTCTTAAGAGGAAAATGTAATAATGACACACACTTGATAAACAAATTAACAATCTGCTTAACCTTTATATTGTTCAGAGCTCTTTACACATTTTATTTCAGTGTGAATTGATAAGATAAATGGAGCTAGGCAAAATGGTAGCTATTGTTTGGCATGCATGAACCAAGGCACTTTCTGAATGGAGAGATTGATCCATGAATCACAAATAGGGATAAGTACAAGGACAAAATCAGTTTTGGGCCTAGTTCACCACCAAATAAGACTGAAGTCTTTTCCATCCCATTTCTGTGCAGGTTTTAAGGATCAGTTCACATATATCCATATGCCAAATTTCCTCTTTTTTGATCTTCAAAATATGGCAACCCTTCATAAAAATCTAAACCTTTTATGTAAGAATTCCAAGGGTGGCAAAACACGAGGTGATCCAAGCTGTATTTTTTAAAATGCTTCCAGTTGCTTAATAGCAACTAAGTAGTGTGCAGTTTCCTTTACACAATGCACATCGAACTTAGCTCATCTTTCCCCACCCATCCCATAAATCTTTGTTTTAAATTTAAATACCAGAATAATAAATAAATGAAAATAAATGTTGGGATGGATTGAGGCACATTTGTATATTCCTACTAATCACATGTCATTATTCTTATGTGCAATTTTATGTACGTATTTTATGTACAATTTACATGCTTTGACATATAGTTTATTCTTAGAGTCTTAGGAGTAATTGAACATAAAATACATAAAATGTACATATGATACATAAAAATTCCATGTGAGATTGATAACACGTCATCAGTACTCATTGCTCCCCATGGGACTTGCTGCACTGATTTCAAAATGTGCAGAGGCAGGAGCCCTGTGAGTGACTAACAGCGCTTATGCAAATGAAATTACATTTTTAAAAGAAGACAGTCAACTTTCAGACCAGCTCATGTGCAAATGCATAATAAAGTTCTAATCCAACCTGATCCCTGCATATGTCTGGACATATTTTTTTTCTGCTGGATGCACTCTGGAGTTAAAATTGCATAGTGTTATCTAGGCAGTGAGAGATTTTACTTTCTTGGGCTCCATGATCACTGTAGATGGTGACAGCAGCCACGTAATTAAAAGATGCCTGCTTCTTGGGAGAAAAGCAATGACAAACCTAGACAGCATCTTAAAAAGTAGAGACATCACCTTGCCAACAAAGGTCTGTATAGTTAAAGCTATGGTTTTCCCAGTAGTGATGTATGGAAGTGAGAGCTGGACCATAAAGAAGGCTGATCGCCGAAGAATTGATGCTTTTGAATTATGATGCTGGAGGAGACTCTTGAGAGTCCCATGGACTGCAAGAAGATCAAACCTATCCATTCTTAAGGAAATCAGCCCTGAGTGATCACTGGAAGGACAGATCCTGAAGCTGAGGCTCCAATACTTTGGCCACCTCATGAGAAGAGAAGACTCCATGGAAAAGAGCCTGATGTTGGGAAAGATGGAGGGCACAAGGAGAAGGGGACAACAGAGGACGAGATGGTTGGATAGTGTTCTCGAAGCTACCAGCATGAGTTTGACCAAACTGCGGGAGGCAGTGGAAGACAGAAGTGCCTGGCGTGCTGTGGTCCATGGGGTCACGAAGAGTCGGACATGACTAAATGACTAAACAACAACAACATCTAGGTATGGAACACTGCATTGCAACAGGGCATTGGACTCAATAGCCTAGCCTACTACATACAGTACCCATGGTATAATAATCACTTACACATGGTTACTCATTTATATTTATGTCTCAAATGAAACTGAATTAAAACGATTAAAAATCCTGTGGGAATAACTGATTTTGGTAGAAGATTGAGAAGATCTAGTAGATAATCAGATGCAAGGGCTACCATCTGAAAAGGATTTGACCATTGGTGTAAGATATGTATTCCAAGACTATAGCCTGGGATATTGTGTCCTTCGTTTCTGTATACTTACCGCATCCACTGACACCATAATCCACTATGTCTCTCAGCAACATGACAATGCTCTGAAATAAAGAGAACTACACCTAACAACTTCATAAGGGTTTTATTTTCTACAAGGTGGCACTTTCTCTCAAGAGATTATTATTATTGTGTTCTCTTGGGCATTCCTTATGATATGACCTGGGGAATCAGCGGAGCTCTTATTATCTGGCGCTTCCCTACCATGATATGAAGGGAGCATATGGCCCCATTTAATGAAAGCAAGAGTTAGTGATGAGTAGGACCAAAGATCAGACACTTGCCCAATAATTTACCCTGTTGCTATTGGAAGTTCAGGGAAGTTTTTAATGTGTGACATTTTAATGTATTTTTAATCTTTGTTGGAAGCTGCCCAGAGTGGAAACCCAGCCAGATGGGCGGGGTACAAATAAATTATTATTATTATTATTATTATTATTATTATTATCATCATCATCATCATCATCATCATCATCATCAACAGATGCCACAGCACAGAACTCTGAAAGACAGACACTGTGAGAATAATTGTAGCCTCTTTCTCTTTTGGATGAGAACTTATCATATATATAATTAAACGAGACATGACCTTCAGAATTTGGGACTGAATCAGTAAATCCCCCTCATCTTTATCCCATAGCTAAAAATAACAATCAGAAAACCATTCTGTGCATTAGAAGCCAACTCAGGATAAAAGACAAAATTCTAGGGAAACCAGACACACCAGTGAGAAAACTTTATAATAACTGCCTGGAGTGGTTCGAATGATGGCACATGACCTTTTTAAAAGCTTTTGAGTCAGGTTTGCTATCTGGTCTGATGTTGTCAATTGCCAGATTGTCAAGTTGAAGCCATTTCACCTGAGCAGTCATCTTTTCAATTGCACAATCAGCTCTTAACAACAACAACAACAACAACCCTACCCCTATGGCCTTTCAGTTAAACTGATGCTCTTTAATAGTCTATGAACCATCAAGTTTCCCCCCCAAAACAACCCACAAATATTTGAGTCCCAACAACTAAGGGCTGGGGGAGAGAAAGTCCGCTTACCCTTTATGGTGGGCAGTGTTGCAGCTGGGCATCAGGTCCCGCAGTGATCCAGCTGGGGGTGTAGACCGACACCCTCCTCGTAGACATCTGGCTGTGTTGTTGGCACTGGGCGGGGCCCTGCCCATGGGCAGCCCTGCTGTCCAATCATCGCTGGTGGAGGAATGGCCGCAGCAAACTTAAAACATGACATGGCCAGGGGACTGTCCGCTCATGCCCTTCGCCAAATCATACTAATGAAAAATCCCTCAGTAACAATAGCTTGAGCTGTACAAATCAAGAAGTGTACAGTGGTTCCTCGGGTTACATACGCTTCAGGTTACATACGCTTCAGGTTACACACTCTGCTAACCTAGAAATAGTGCTTCAGGTTAAGAACTTTGCTTCAGGATAAGAACAGAAATCAGGCTCCGGCGGTGCGGCAGCAGCGGCAGCAGGAGGCCCCATTAGCTAAAGTGGTTCTTCAGGTTAAGAAGAGTTTCAGGTTAAGTACGGAACTCCGGAACGAATTAAGTACTTAACCCGAGGTACCACTGTACACTCTTTCACACAAACACTTGTACTTGGGTAGAGACAGTTTATAGTTGTGTGCATTGTAACACGTCATCATCTTAGTATTTATTTAGATGAGATTTAGGTAGGTGTTCACAATCGATTTCCACACTGTGCTTGAATCTAGTATAGTGGTACCTTGGTTTACGAACAGCTTAGTTTATGAACAACTTGGATTAAGTACGCTGCAAACCCAGAAGTAGGTGCTTTGGTTTGTGAACTTTACCTTGGAATAAGAACATGTTTCACTTCCTGTTGAGTGTGTTCCATTTGTAAATTGAGTCCCCCGCTGTTATGGGAAAGCACACCTTGGTTTAAGAACGCTTTGGTTTAAGAACGGACTTCTGGAACGGATTAAGTTCATAAACAAAGGTACTACTGTATTATAAAACTAAGTGTTCCAGGAAACTTCCAGACTGTCCTTGACCATATTATATGAATCATACACCAAGTTCCATATCTATCTCGGATCCTGAGGTAGGGGCAGTGATCTTTCATGATGTTTGGATGTCAGCTGCCAGTTTGAATCAAAATGGAGGCCCAAAACTTCACTTTGGCATGACTTCACCATTTTTAAAGTAATGGTTTGGCCACCTATCTACATAACGCTTCCAAACTCAGCATGAGGGGTTCCCAGGTGGGAGTGCCGGCCTTCATCAATGTTCGGATGTCAGGTGCCATTTTGAATCAAGACTGTGCACCAAATATGACGTTTCTGCCTGGTTCCCTGTAGCTTTACTTCTTTCAGCTAGAAAGCCCTTGGTGCTGGAACTCAATGTCTGGGCTGAATGATGGGGTGGAGATTTTCCTACAGGTATACAGGGCTGAGGTTGTTTAGGGCTTTAAAGGTTAGCACCAACACTTGCAATTGTGCTCAGAAACATACTGGGAACCAGTGTAGATCCTTTAGGACCAGTGTTATATGGCCCTGGCAGCTGCTCCCAGTCACCAGTCTAGCTGCTGCATTCTGGATTAGTTGTAGTTTTTGATTCACATTCAAAGGTAGCTCCATATAGAGAGCATTGCTGTAGTCCAAGCAGGAGATATCTAGAGCATGTACCACTCTGGTGAGACTGTGAGCAGACAGGTAAGATCTCAGCTGGTATACCAGATGGAGCTGGTAGGCAGCTGCCCTGGACACAGTTGACCTGCACCTCCATGGACAGCTGTGAGTCCAAAAGGACTCCCAGGCTGCACACCTGCTCCTTTAGGGACACAGGCACCCCATTCAGGACCAGGGAATCCCCCAAACCTGCCCTCACCCTGTCCTCCAGAAACAATACTTCTGTCTTGTCGAGATTCAACCTCAATCCATTAGCTGCCATCCATCCTCCAACTGCCTCCAGACACTCACATAAGATATTCACTGCCTTCCCTGGTTCTGATTTAAATGAGAGGTAGAGCTTTAAAAGTGCTTTTAAAGTACCGTAAGTACAGACTCTCAAGTCATAGATCTAAATCCATTAAACTATTTATGAACATTTATGAAAATTAGAACTCTACACTTAGCCAAATACAGAAGTGTAGCATATTCACTCTATTGATAATATTAAATGCTCTGAACAAGGGTTAACCTTTATGCCATCATTACTGACTTAAATTAGACTAAACTGGATAAATTAATACCAAGGGAATACTTTAGAGCAAAACCAAGGCAGAAGTTCATTTAAGACTTTGTTGTATCCTTTATCCCCTTTATACACACCTACACCTACACCCACACACCAGCTAATTGTGTCAGGTTGGAGAGACTATCTGCTAACTAATTACACATTAGTAGATGCACTCATTGGTGTGTCTTCAGAAAGCCAGGGGACTTTATTTAAAGGAAAGACATCTACAGTATCTAGCCACTGGTGGGGGGGGAAATACGACAAGCAAGCTGACTGTTACAATTGGACCATAGACAAAATGAAATAAATGCATTATTAGATTTATTCACAGAGCAAAAAAATTGAAGCCACAACATAGGTACCTATGAAACTATTATGCTTGATTCTGGAACGATTTGAAGCAAATGTGAGTAGAAAACTATCAGACCTTGTGTGTTCGGTGACACACAAATATTAAATGCAATAATGGCCTTATTTATCTAATCAGTCTTATTGATAAATTGTTTGTTTTTGTGCTTTTTATTTATTGGGGGAACATTAATGGGACTTATTCATTTCAATTTAAAGTATAGGAAACAGATTTAACTTTATTGCTTATTTCTTTGATTTTCTCTCCCTTATCCCCATTCAACTGGAAAATTGTACAAATCAAGTTGTAGTTGTCAGACAGGAGCTCCTGAATTAGAACTTCCATCATCCTTAGCTAGCAAGACTAGTGGTCAGGGATGATAGGAACTGTAGTCCAAAATCAGCTGGAGTCCCAAGGTTGGGAAACACTTCTGTAAGGGGATTTCTTCAGGAGAATAAAGGCTAAGGAGTAAACCCTGCACAAATCTGGAGTGGAGTGCCTAAGACAGTTGGATGGCACCTTGTTGCTGCCTTCTGGCAACTCCTGCAGCCAAGCTGGTGTCAAATGTATTGCTCTGCTTTCCTTTGGACCACATCAGTGAGGCTGAGAGAGGCTCTTGTCATCTGCATAGCCCAGGGCTTCCAGACATACCGCCTAGGTTTGCTCTCTGTTGGGGTTAGGGATTCTACCTTTGCTTGGTCAGGCCACTCCATATATACATCACCTATATGACCCCTCACCAACATGGAGCTTTTCCCCTTGCAATATTTCACATCATGCCACCTGTAATTCTGCACAGAAGATTCTCAAAAATTCCATCTTCAGAAAGGCATTATTATTGCAATATAAAACAGGTCAAAACCATTGCACATGTTTTATTTTACTGCCCATTTTACACATTTTAAAATCTGTGATAAATATTTAAACTCCATGCTGAAAGGAAGGTTAAATTGCCCTGACCTTTCCAGGACCTTTTCTTAGAGATGTCATGAAACTATAAGACTTGAGAGGTCCTTTTTAACCTTCTTATTAGTTTTACCTCAAAGAACAGTGGTACCTCAGGTTAAGAACTTAATTTGTTCTGGAGGTCTGTTCTTAACCTGAAACTGTTCTTAATCTGAGGTACCACTTTAGCTAATGGGGCTTCCCACTGCCGTCCCGCTGCCAGAGCACGATTTCTGTTCTCCTCCTGAAGCAAAGTTCTTAACCCAAGGTACTATTTCTGGGTTAGCAGAGTCTGTAACCTGAAGCATCTGTAACCTGAACATTTGTAACCCGAGGTACCACTGTATGCCCTTTTCTGAACAGATGCCAATTTTATGCTTTGGCTTATATGCTTTAGTATGTCAATAAAAGTGATTGTTATAATGCATGCTGGTATTTCACTGCTGAAGCTTAGGTATTAAGTTATTACTGAAATGTTTGTGCTTAACTCTTTCTCTGAGAGCA